CCAGACTGGAGTGCAGTGGTGCAATCTCGGCTCACTACAATCTCCGCCTCCTGGGTTCAAGCAATTTTCCCCCCTCAGCCTCCTGAGTGGCTGGGACTACAGGCGCACGCCACCATGCCCAGCTAATTTTTTTTGTATTTTTTAGTACAGACAGGGTTTCCCCATGTTGGTCAGGATGGTCTCGATCACTTGACCTCATGATCCGTGATCCACCTGCCTCAGCCTCCCAAAGTGCTGGGATTACAGGCGTGAGCCACTGCGCCCAGCCTGCTTCTTTAACTTCTTTAAGAAATTAGTGCAGAATTAGAATCCACCTACATTGCTGAAACTTCTGTTTACATTATATACTTCATTGCATTAAATTTGCTTGAGCTCTGCTCTTCACATTTTAGCAATGTTACCTTAATTTGTTATATTTATTTTTTAAAGTCTATCACCTATTGGTACACAAGAATAAGTGCCTTCATTAATTTAAGCTATATGGTCAAATATTATTTCTGGTCTTGGAATCTAAAATTTAGAGTTTTTCTACAAAATCCAAGGTTTAGTGTGTATGTTTTTTATTAAAAATATTACATTTTTAAAAGACATCAGAAATGTTGACTCAGCAGTAATAAAATTTACAGGCCTAATTTCACAGGCCAAAGAATGCCCACAAATATTTTTAACGAGGTGCCAGCATCTAATGGCTTTTATTAGCACTAATTTGCAAATCTAATTTACAATGTTTAGAATACTAAGGGACTTTATCAAATTAGGATATTAAAACTTTAGATGATCAATTGATATTTCTATTTAATTTCATAAGTTATTTACTAACTGGTCATATATTGGATAATCTTACCTATACAGGGATTAAATATGAACTGCATATGATGTTGTTTTACTTGTTGTGAAAATATTACACTCTGCTATTAACATAAAAATTAGAATCATAATCATTATTTAAGAGAGTTCCAAACTTTGCTGTATGTTAATTTAACCATGACATGAGATATTTTGGAGTTTGAAAGCAGTTATTCAGTGAGCTACAGAATGGCTGTATTATGTTAGGAACGTCTAAACTTGAGTGATCAAGTGTTTCTGAATGATCCACCCTGCAAAATGCCAACATTACCTTTGTCTTTTCTACTCCAATATACCTGCTAATGCTCACTTTCAAAGTGTGTCTATTTCAACTGACACCTGCACTTGGACCTAATAGTAGACCAGGTCTTTGCCACTATTTAGTCCGTTACCAAGGTGGTTACTTGGAACCACCAGCCTTCTCTACTGTGTACCACCCTTCCCAAGGGGCCATCTTCATGCACATTATGACTGATTCTGCAGAGAGAATAGAGCTGTCCTTTCTTGACTTGGTATGCTTTTTGCATTTACAATTGACTTGGTATGCTTTTTGCATTTACAAATATAAATTTCTATTATCTGCATGCAGCCCTACCTTCCTCATACCAGAATTATATGAAAGTTTTTCCTCTTCAAAACAAATTTATCCTATTTTGTTCTTGATCCTAATTTCCTCAGCTTATCTGGAATCTGAACGTGTCATAAAAATTATTGTCTCTTTCCAAACGTTCTTTAACTTTTTCATTATACTGGTCCCTTCAATGTAGGCTATCACATATACTCAAGTCTTTGAAAGAATTGTAAAACCCAAACACTGCTAGACCAATACTGCCTACTCTTACAATTCTAATTTTCGCCTTTGTTTAACTTTCTTTCCTGCAAATCCCTGGGGCTTCATGTTCTCAAGTTACTAATTGTTATGTCCAATTCCTCAATTGTCATTTATTTTAACTTTACAGACACTCATAAAATGCATACTATATGCTCAGCACTATTCTAAGCATGATGTTTATATGTATTATACATGTGTATATTTTAACTCAGTCCATCTGTTTATTACCCACCTTCTGAAGCCTGTTTCTGTCAATTCATCAGATTCATTCTCTATCCATCTTCGATCCCTAGCTGGTGAGGAGTTGTGATCTTTTAGAGGAGGAGAGATGTTCTAGTTTTTGCTGTTTTCATCCTTTTTGTGCTGGTTTCTTCCCATCTTAGTGGCTTTATCTACCTGTGGTCTTTGTAGTTAGTGACTTTCTAATGGAGTCTCTGAGTGGATGTTCTTTTTGTTGATGATGAAGTTATTTCTTTCTGTTTCTTAGTTTTCCTTCTAACAGTAAGGCCCCTCTGCTGCAGAACTGCTGGAGGTCCACTCCAGACCCTGCTTGCCTGGTGATCACCTATGGGGGCTACAGAACAGTAAGGGTTACTGCCGGTTTCTTCTTCTATTATCTTTGCAACAGAAGGATACCTGCCAGATGTCGGCCTGAGCTCTCTTTTATGAGTTGTCTCTGGAAATACAAGGGTCGGGGAGTTGCTTGAGGAGACAGTATGTCCCTTATAGGAGCTCAACTGCTGTGCTGGGAGCTCCGTTGTTCCCTGCAGAGATGCTGGGCAGGTGCTTTTAAGGCTGCTGCAGTGGAACGCATAACTGCCTCTTTTCCCAGGTGCTCTGACCTAGGAAGGTTGGCTTCATTTATAAGTTCCTGTCTTGCTGCTGCCTTTTTTCATAGATGCCCTGCCCCACGTGGAGTAGTCTAGTCAGAGTCTGCCAGCAGAGGTGCTCTGCCCAGCTGCTGTGTGAACTGCCTCGGTGGTGGCAGACTACCATGGTAATGGGGGACACCCTTCCCCCCACACTGAGCTGGACCATCCTGGGTCCAGCTGTGCTTGCTGTGAAACTCTCAATCCAGAGCGTTTCAGATTGCTTGTTTTGTGGAGGTGGTACCCAACAAGCGAGATCCCCTGGCTCCCTGTCTCAGCCCCCTCTCTTTCAGTTGAATGGGCCGCTCTGTCTCCCAAGCACTCCAGGTGCCAGTTGAAACAGCTGCCCAGATTGTGTGAGTTTCTGTGTGCCAAGCCACCACCAGCTGGAACTGCTGTGCTGAAAACTCAGGGTGCTTTTAGGCCCAGGAATCTCCTGGTCTGTGGGCAGGGAAAATTTGTTTGGAAATGCAGCGGGCACTCATCCATTGCATTTTTCTTGCTGAGAACTGCACTCCGGAGCTGTTCCTATTCGGCCATCCTGGATACTTCCCCCTCTTCCCCTCATTTTCTTACTCTGCTTGGGTTCTTGCTGCAATATTCTACTGCTCTTTATTTTTATACCTTTTCAGCACCATGGATACTTCATGTCCTTGTGGTCTTACTCAAAATGATCGCATATGTTCAACTGCAGAGGACACACAGAGATTGAGAATGCGGCATGCTGTGTTCTCCCCCTTCCCAGGCATTGCCTTAAGGCCAGCTGGATTTGTGGCCGTATACTTACATAATTCCGATTTAATTTTTCTTGTGGGAAATTATGCGAGTTCAGGAGCTCTACATTCTTTTACTGAAATAATTATTTTCAAATCCCTAAAAACACTTACATAATTCAACGGAAGTAAAACATTCATTGCAGAGCTAGTAAGATGTCCACCACTAAATTTTTTAAAGTGAGGTTTAATTTTTTTCTTAATATGCTTCTTCTTCTGTAAAGGGAAATGACATTTATATTTAGAATCACGAAGCAAGAAACTATTCCCAATACTTATATGCTAAGCTGGAAAAGAACTAGAAATATATGCTTTGTCTGTTTTCTTAGGTATATTATTGCAGTTAGACTTCTGATAGTTTTTTTTAATGTTATCATTACGGTTGAGAGTCTGCTCAATGTGTTGAATTTCTTTAGAAGACCAGCTCCCATCTGCAAGGAAATTATATTGTGTCATGGCTGAGCATGCAGAAATTATTTTTCAGAAAAGGGAGGAAGGTAGGGTAGGGGAAGAGAGAGAGATATAAAAAGTAAAGAATTCAAATCTCCAGTATCAAAACAGGGACAGGAATAGCTTGTGGACATCCCACTAGAACACAATGTCTTATTGATAATTTTTATGAACTCACTTAGTTCACCTTCCAGAATCAGTCATATTAGTTGCTACCCAGCCCTCTCTTAGTTTTATTTTACTTTTCTAAAATATATATTTTATCATCAGAAAGACTTAAACACTTCAATATCCCATATTTCAAAAGATGCTATTTACTTAAAATTATTTTTAAATCCTTGTGACAGCTGAATACATTTTTCTTCAATCGAAAGTGTAAACAGTAAATAGATAAAAATGGCCAAAACATTATTATTAAATTATATCATTTTTCCTTTTCATTGTTTTTTATTAATTTCTATCCTAGAGAAACAAAACAAATAAACAAAAAAATGGCTCTCACAAATTATATCCCAATCCCTTTTCTTTTTCATTCTTGAAAATCTTTGAGTCCCACTTCTGTATCCTTTCTAAATCTGGAATTTCCTTTTTCTACCTGGACTTTCAGATTGATGTATTAGCATTTAAGAGTGATATCACAAAGACTGTACAATGTAAGTGAAGGCTTAGGTGAAATCAAGCTGGTATGTCATTTGACGTCTAAAATAGAGATGCCAAATATGTAGCTTAGTAAACTTTGCTATTCTCTGGCAATACTACCTCTGTGTGTTTGCATTTCTTCTAACAAAGTGCCTCCTTTTTAATCTACTGCAAATTTCCTAGAGGGCAGCAAGTCCCACTTCTGATTAATAACTTTACTACTGTCTTTATGATGCATTCGAAAGTTCAAGTAATCGGTTTATATATGCAAGAAGATTATGTTTTGATCTGACATATGATTACAGAAAGAGCTAAATTCCAAAGGTAAGCATAATAATCTACAAAACATATTATCATGAATTTATGTATTTAGCAATATCCTTAGGGTTATTTGTGCAAGATTCCACCTGAGAATACTTTCTTCATGGGAGTAATGGATTTTCTGTGAGCACATATATGCTAAAGCTACAGTAAAATTACTTTTATCTTGATTTATTATGTCCACAAAAAATTATATTTCTATCTGCTTAATTCCTAATACTGTTGGCTTCTTATATTAATTAGTAATCATTTTTATTTTTCTTACTTTAGATGATACTTCGGCTACATGACTGAACCTTCGAAGTTTAAAAGTGGAATAGAAAACATAAAGACTGCATTTTCTGATTGTCACCCTGGCTCTGTTATTCTCTGTTCTATGGCATTGCTAGCCTCCCAGCTTAACTATTTGTAGATTATGAGTGTCAAGTAATATTGCTCTTCTATGCAAATATTTTCCTAATTTTAGATAACCTAAGCATTTCAAGTTATAATCAATTATTGGGAGTTTTTCTATCGTATGTTTAATGATTTATATTGTTGTCTCAATAATTAGCTTTATTGTTATGATTTTATCATTTCTAGCCTATATTATGTAGGGTACCATGGTTCTTTCATTTTTAAATTATTATAGCCTCTTTATCAGATTGGAAATGCAAATATCCTATACAATGTCATATGACATATCATGTTTATACAAGATTTGAATAATTTTAAACCTGTTTATACTTTGCTTTATAAGAAGAATACACTTGAATGTGTTTGGTTGCATATATGCATAACGTTTAACCAATGTGTAACTGTGGCTTTCATTCCTCTACCTTCCTATTTGATAGCAGGATACTGAACTCAGCCAACACAGAGCTGATTCTGGAAGTTATGTCCATCTGCACTGCCAAATATGAACATAAAGCTCATCATATGCTTATAAAATTATCCTATTAAGAATCATAAAATATTTATACAGGAAGGCCTAAAAAATGAGTTGCATGCTAAGAATTAAGCCTGGTAACCAAGTAATCTTTGCTATGCATTTGATCCCTGCAATAGGTAAGAGGTGCGCCTGTAGCAAGATATCTCAACATGTAACAATGCCACTTGGTAGCAGACGTTTAAAGATAGCCAGCCTTAGTTAACTTCTTTCATATGCTGTCCACTGCACTTGGTAAGTTTCATGGGGTGGTGTTATTATCACTATTATGTAAAAGAGAAAATAAATGTTCTTAGATGTTCTGGAACTTGTTCAGTTTCAGATGATTGGAACATTGTGGTCTTGGCTTTCAAGTATATGTCTACCAGATTCCACAGACTCTTTTTCTGTCCACTTTGTCACCTACAACTCTGAGCTCCAATATAAAGACTTCACCATATTTGAAAGAGTATAGTGGATAGTCTGATGCTCAATTTTGCATTCAAAAGAGTTGCCTCTGTGACATTATAACTGCTGAAATAAATAAATCTCCTTTTGATTCAGGGTGTTATTTAATTATTGCAAATCTCCTGTCATAGATCTGATACTTAAGTTAAAAAATTAGGCTCAGGTCCTTACCTATGATTTTGCTCTTTACAGTACTTTTAAACCTACAAAATTTGCATTCAACATTTACACATACAAAATTCATATAGTCCTTCAAAACTAAGATTGCATAAAAATCTTATGGCTTGAAATTTTAAGTATTACAATATAAACAGCAGAGACTTCATGTTTATGATAATTTTTAATAAATGGCATCAACTTTTGCATTATTATTCCATGTTTTGTATTAATTTATATCACATTTATTTTTATTTTTGAAATTTCACACTGCATATCATTTTTATATATTATTTGTTTAAAGTAAGGTTTTAACAAAGGAAGTTGCATAAAATAAGATTTTTTAAATAGAACTTAGCAGAAAATATTAATCACATTCAGTTTAAAATCAATTTATATGTTTTCTTACAGAAAAAAAACTGTTTTTTTCAGAGAAATTTTTAATTGTTATTAATAGAAAGCATAAATAACTTTAATATTTAAAGCACTTTTAACATTTTTTTAAAAACATAAGCCAGTGATTGGCTTGCTTATTTCAAATCTGACCAGTTGATCTACTTACTTGAATCATATGATAGTAAAATACATACCAACATTTTTTGGCACTGGCCAGACACAAATCCTATCTTGTCTTCCCTATGGCAAAGAGTAACATTATTTTCAGTGCTAATATGAAGTCCTTGTTAATGTTATCAACACACACACACATAAACACACCAAGAAAACACAAAAAACATAACAAAATAAACCTTATATGTTTGAAAAACTTATTTTTAAGCCACTATTTTATACTCACTTCCGCTTGGAAATGTCAAAATGTATTATGGTTAAGTTAGTTGCAAACTAAAACCAAGGGTTGCATCTAGCTTCTTATAAGCTGCACAGTGTTATTTTTAGCACTCTTACTGGTGTTGTTAAGACATTCTTAACTTCAGTTTTCTTCCTCCATCAAATAAATAATGAAAATATGAGGGATGGTGTTATATTTGCATTACATGGAACTATTCTAAAGGTCATATCTTAAAAAAAAACAAATCTTACAGAATCACAGTCTTTGTGTTCATCAACTCTAAATGATAATAATAAAAAACACTAAAGATTATTCCAATACTATCTTAATTGTATCAATAATCTCTACTAAATTTAGAACCTACAGTAAGCATAGATTTGAGAGTTCACACTTTGTATATTACTTACAGGATGTGTGACTTTGGGGAAGGTGCTACTTTTAGCATCTGCTTCATTATCTACAATGTGAATATCACATCTACATCAAATTATTTTGATAGTGAAATGGGTAAAATATATAATATTTTGCATAATTGCTAGGACATTTTATTAACTCAAAACACTTTTTTTGGTCATTATTTTGAAGACAAAAACTTCTCTTACATCTCAGTCAAGAGCTGGTAAAAATATTTGATTGTTTTATGGGATTATGATGAATAATGTTCTAAAAGGTTTTTACTTTAAAACTATGCCACACAAATATATTTTAAAGTGTCCATGATCTCTTACTGAATTTAATTCCATATTTATAAAATGGTATTTTAATTTTAAAATCAACTGCCTATGACTATTTAGCCAAATCATTGACTCATTCATGTAGATTTATTTTTTAAGTCTACAGATGGAAGAATTCATATGGAGATATACATAAAATATAATAGAAGGCTTACTTACATTACATATATCTGAAAGATATGTAAGACTTCTGTATCTACAATAGAATCAACATTGTTGATATAAAACACTAAGGAAGTAATATCTAATTAACATGTGTATTTTGTCCCCAGCTACTATGTGACCTATTAGGGCTTTTCACAGAAGAAAACCTACATATATAAAAGAAAATAATTTGAGTTTGCCAGGCTCCTTCTTGCTGAATCAGCCTACTTTGTGTGATGCCAATTTCTGCTGTTTTTTTTATTTTTTTTCTCCCTAAGGAAAAATATTGCTGAATAACATGTCAATAACATTTAAAGGGAAATAACAGCCTTAACCCAAGTTTGGAAGCTGTGATTAAGAAAGACTTTTGTCACAAAAATAAATAAATAACAAGTAGAAAAAAGTAATGTGAAGTTTAAATAAATGTGCTGAAATTTCAAAATATATCTTAAGCCGAAGAGTTCATTATGAAATTACTATATGCTAGAAATACAAAAATAAATGAAACTGTTCCTTGCAGAGAAAATGTTCAGGAAAGCTACACAATGAAAGTGATAACTGGTTAGTCTTTTTTGGAATGAGGAGGTGTCACAGGGAGTTTGTGCTACCATAACAGAACACTACCAGACTGAATAATTTATAAAATACAGAAATGTATGCCTCACAGTTCTAGAGGCTGCGGAGTCCAAGATCAAGGCACTGGCTAGTGAGGATCTGGTCTTTCTGTTTCCAAGATAAAACCTCATCCTCTGGAGGCAAAGAGCCTTGTTTCCTCACATGGGAGAAGGTGGAAGAATGAGAAGGTCAAAATCTCTTGCCAAGTACTTTTCTTTCTTTTTTTTTTTTTACTTATATAAAAAATATCCTATTTTTATTTTTATTTATTTATTTTTTCTATTATACTTTAAATTCTGGAGTACATGTGCGAGATGTGCAGTTTTGTCACATAGGTATACACGTGCGATGGTGGTTTGCTGTATCCATCACCCTGTCGTCTACATTAGGCATTTCTCCTAATGCTATCCCTCCCCCCAACCCCTTGCTATCCCTACTATAGCTCCCCACCCCCAAACAGGCCCCAGTGTGTGATGTTCCGTTCCTCTCCCTGTGTCCATGTGTTTTCATTGTTCAACACCCACTTATGAGTGAGAACATACGGTGTTTGGTTTTCTGTTCTTATGTCAGTTTGCTGAGAATGATGGTTTCCAGCTTCATCCATGTCCCTGCAAAGGACATGAACTCATCCTTTTTATGGCTGCATAGTATTCCATGGTGTATATGTGCCATTCAAGTACTTTTTATAAGGGTACTTTATCCCATATGAGAAGCCCTCATAGCTTAATCACTGCCTAAAGTCTTCACCTCTTAATATTATCACTTTGGAAGTACCTGAACTTTGGAGTAGACTAATTCAAATTATAGAAGGAGGCAATAATTAGGTGATGAATATTGGAGAAAGACATTTGAGACAGAGGAACTACATACTTTTTTTTTAAGAAAGAGTGTGTAGCATTATAAAAAGACCTCAGGCTGAGAAGTCAAAGTAGGCACCTTCTTCAAAAGTTTGCTTGCTTGGTTTTCTCATCTACAAAATTGAGTTAATAATAGTTTTCTATGTCCCTATTCAGTAAGTAATAACCAATATTGTCAAAATCATATTGCATTTTAGATGCCATGTCAGATTTTTTTTCATGTCATGCAATGTAATAATTTTGAGGTAAATGGCTTAGTGGTTTGAAGTATTTGCTGGAAACTTTGTGCCATATATTTTACTAATCAACACATTTATTTCCTAAATAACTAATTTCAAAGAGAGACAAATACTTTGAAATAAATCTGGCCTGAGTTTAAGTCCTGACTTCCTCTTTGCTTGTGCGACTTGGAGAAGTGACATGTTAAGATTCAGATGCCTCATCCTAAAACTGAGGAATACTTTGGCCCACTGTCTCTTTTCAATTAACATTTATGAACTTGTATTGTATTACTGTATAGTGAAAAAATATGGATCAATTTTGTCCCAATGTGTCTATGTAAGCTTGTCTCTGACTCTAATATTCAAAACACAAATAATGAGGACATTTTATCAAAAGACTTGAAAATATGTTTCCTGTAATGACTAATTCAAAATTACTATCAATAATACCACACTACATTCTAAGCACTTATTTGAAGAATTCAAGGATTTTTCTTTAGAGTATATGAGAGATGATATAGTGGTGTATACAATAACAACTCAGCAGACACAAGACAAAATGAGAAGAGACATCACAGAAAAACCGGAAATTGCATGTCAAATGTATGGAACGTGTGTTATAAGCATTTAGAGACAGAATGATGTATGTGCAATGAACAAGCTCAGAAAGAACTCATGTGAGAAGGTGAGCTTGGTGTCTGCAGTTGAGTCAAAAAGTTTTGAATAAACAAAAGATGGGGACCATTAGCAAACTCCTGAGGATAATGTACGGGGCATGATATTAGGACAAGAGATAGTTTCAGTGTGGCCTCAGGGAAATTATAAGGCTTGTGGTTGGGTGGATAGGAAATTGGAAGCAGATGGTGGATGTTATAGGTTATTCTGCTTCTCAGTTTGGGCTGGGCATCTCTGGACAGGCTTGTGGGAAGAGAAGGAGAGATAGTTCCTCTGAAAATAGGTGAGTTAACGGCTCTGATTTACCTGGTCCTAAAATGTTACAATGTTTATTATCAGTTCTGGAACCCACAGCTAACCCCTTTCTGATTTGAAAACACTACTGCACAGGATTATGGAGTAATTTTCTAGATATCAACAGAAACTGCTTTCCTTTTTGTTCAAATATAAAGCTATTTGGCTGCAAAAATGCAGCCAAGTCCCTATTATTTATCCTGGAAAGAAAATGAAAATAATATACCAATCTGGAATTAGTTTTTTAAAAAACTGTAGTATAACATGATTTTGAAATAAAATGTCTCACAAAGCTTAGAAATCATTGTCCATTTAATTTTATTGCTTGAGAAAAGTGCCAATTTCGAACATAAAATATATATTAAGATATTTCTTTATGTTTGTCAGCCTCACCAAAGGTAAGGATTCTGAGGTTTGTTTTTCATGATCTGGCCCCATATATAGTAAAAATAACACATGATAAAGTAGTGGCCTGTAGCTTCTTTTATTCAATGTGTTGGAGAGAAAAAAGATGACTGGTTAGGTCTCTCCCAAAGGAACAGTTCAGTAGTCAATTTGCTAATCTGGCTGGATAGGAGAATGAGACAGAGACTCCAAGAAGCATGGGAACAAGAACCACATTGTCTTGTCCATTACAGTTTATCCAATACTAGTTACAATTCCTGGCCCATAAGAAAGTGATAATAAATGGAAGCAATAGTACTAGTGGAAGAGAGATCATGATCATCAACTGACCTCTAGAAGCATCGTGTCTCAATTAAATATGGAATTTGTTTCAGTTAGTGCATCACATGAGACTGAGCAGACTAAATCTCTTTCATGAAAGAAAAGAATGTATAAAGAAGAGGAACCATGTCAAGTAGGATGCACGAGAATTTTCCCC